GTGATACGCAAAAGTGATTATAATGACAATTAATCAACTGACTTATTAATACATAAATATTCCCTCTAAAGAATTGATACGATTCATTTCAATATAATTTTATATTACTTTGTCTTATCTTGTTTGACAGTTTAAAGGCAGTTTCATAGCATGTCAGCCATGTTTAGTACCTTCCCTAGTACCTTTGTCATACTGACTTAAGCCGGTTGTGCCTCTCTGATAAAGGACTGTCTAGGACTCTAATGGCTCCTACACACTGGACGCGGAAAAGCTTACCGCGCGGCAAAATGCGACGCGGTAACCAATGAACATGTCAGGAGCTGTAAGCTAATTGGCTACCGCGTCACATTTTGCCGCGCGGTAAGCGTTTCCGCGTCCAGTGTGCAGGAGCCATAACCGTACCGAATTCTTAGCACTCCTCTCAGCGCATTGACTGTTTCTCTTTTGACTTGAGGTAGTTGATGCGTCTCATGCGTTCATGTAGTCTATGCTTTTCATGTGTAATTCGGAACGAATATTCGTGATACTGTAACCCTTAAGTGGATCGGAAATCTTTCTAAGAACTCTAAAGAAGAACGAATATTATGGCGAAGAAGAAGTCGAAACAAATAACTTGAAGCCTTGAAAGTTGTTTATTTTATATTATAATTAGTTTATTTTACCTTAATTAATTACGAGTTTTAAATTTGGAAGTCAATCTTTTCAAAAGTTTAATGTTATGTTACGTTATTATGTTAAATACTTTTATCTAACAATTAAAAATGTGTTATAAAATAATTAATAATATATTTAATAATAATATAGTAATATAATTTAATAGTAATATAATATTATAATACATATAATGGCCCGTATTCAGAACACGCTTACAAAGATGTTAGCGCGCTAACATACTATACTTTACGTTACGCATATTATAAAATTTCAGAGATAAAAGCGCGCTTTTATCGATAAAAGCGTGTTCTGAATACAGGCCACTGTATATATTATATTATATATGTATTGTATAGTAATATATAATAATATATAATTTGAAATATATTTTTAGTTCTCAATATTTTTATAATTTATAATTATAATTTATAATTAAGGATGTATGAGTGATCATATTTCAACATAATTATTAATAACAAAATTATTTAAAAACTACAGATTATTCTAAATCACATTTAAAAATAATAGGTACGACAAATTTGGAGACAGTTTACTATCTGAATCATAAGTTATTTTTTAATAAATAATAGTACCTACTTTTTAAATCTGTACTCTAATAAAAATGTACGGAAATATATTATATATAAAATAAATGACAACTTTTTAATATAAGTACCTTATATGTATTCAAGATTCAAGTTATAAATTCCGATGCATGAACTAGTTGTCCAATAAATAAACAAAATATTTATTTGTTCTGTATCTTTGTAACAAATTAGTGAATCGTAATAGTCCATTTTTAACATTACCACTGCAATCCACTCAACGCACAGCTCGTATAGGAAACCGGTTCGAATTCACAAGCGCTTCATGCGCGTTATGTGCGCATTGAAAAAAACAGAAGCGATTTCGAAGCGTTGCGCATCAGTACTGCAGTTCATGCGTTTCATGCGTAACTCGGAACGCACCCCAACAATAAATTTCCCTTAGGTGAGCACAATTCACCCACTTTCCCCTATATATTATATTTATTTATATGTTTATTATATTTATTTATGTATGTTATGTATATTTTATTTTATGTACGTGTGTTATGTGTACAATTATAATTATTAATACATACGCTACAAATACACCTAATTTTTATAAAGTAAAAAATACAATTCATATTCAAAGGAAAATTAACTTCAAGAATCATTGGCTTAAGAATTATATCGTCCATTAATTAAGAATTAAACATTAGGTCTGTTCGCGGTGCTTGAATTTTTTGCACTCATCATCTTGGTATTCTCTCCCTTCAACGCCCGAATTTATCTCACTTTAAGTACAAAAATTTTAGGGAATTTCAAGCAACGCAAATAAACCTTGCAAAACTAAACTTTTACCGACAGTAGAAAAGAAAAGAATGTAATAATGTCGCCCTCTAAATACAGAGGTGCTAATGTCTTAATTCTCAACATGGCGCAGATCATATGATACGTCATAAGAAGAAAGATTGTGTATAGTGTGTATCTAGTCATATGTATCTAGATTTAAATATTTAAATCAATCGTAATAAAGAATCAGCTGTTATTGAGCGACTTGTCTTCTAAACGCAGTCAATATTATTGTAAAAACAATTCATTTAGCTTTGTCGTGTTACTTCAAAATTTAATAGTTTACATTTTTTCGTCTCCCTTTTTTCTCTTCATTACATCTGATTACATCTAATATTAGGTACATAAGGCTATCACAGACGATATTCTTGATTATAATTCATTTGGTATTTTAACCATAATTATATCAGATAGAAATTCGCCTCCGACGGAATTTCCAAGGATCGACAGGTCCTATATTTATAATCTGCTCTGCCTATCTTTAATACTATTGTTTTCACAACAAATCAACCGGCTTTTCGGTCAGTTTATAATCTAATGATTAAAAAGAGAAGACGATTTATTAAATAATCTTATGTATTCCAATCTAGAATAGATATCGAATTAAAAAGGAGGAAATCACGTGCTTTATTTATGTCTAAAGAGTCCAGTCGATGATAGAGTAAGAATTAAAGGTTATGGAAGGCAGTAAGTATACAATAGATATAAAAAGGATATACATATTTATCTTTTTGGCATAATTTGTTATTCGACTTGTGGGGGGAATATAATGTACAATTAACAATTATGTACTTTTTATAATAAAGGATATTTAATGTTTAATATTATGTTTGTTTATAATATTAGACTTCAAGTCAGTAAACATTTGGCAATATTATTGTTACAGACGAAAATGTAGAAGAGCAAATGCAAATAGAGGAACAAGTGCAAGCAGAAGAACAAGTGCAAGCAGAAGAAACAGTGCAAGTAGAAGAGCAAATGCAAGTAGAAGATCCAGTACAAGCAGAAGAACAAGTACAAGTAGAGGAACAAATGCAAGTAGAAGGGCAAGACGTAGAAGATCAACATGAAAGTGAAAATGTTATTCCCAATAATGTACAAAATAATGAAGAAAATGATACTGGAACTAAAAGTTCACAACGAAGTATGTATTATACTGTAATAGAATTGTTGCAGTGTATAAAACTCTTTGGATATGTATATAAGTGTATCTGACTAAATAAAAAATTAATTCTCTTGCAGCAAATGCGACGAGTGTAAACTTGGATGTCTCGGATGTAGACTCTGATCAGTCATGTCCAATATGCATGGAGCAATGGACCAGCTCGGGAGAACATCGTTTGTGTTGTTTACGCTGTGGACATCTCTTTGGACATAGTTGCATTCTAAGGTGGTTACAGTATTCTTGCAACAGTACAAATCGCCGTTGTCCACAATGCAATAAGAAAGCCTCGATGAAACATATTAGGATGCTATATGCGAAAAAGCTGACAGCAATTGACTCTACCGAGTATGACAATCTGAAAAAGGATTTAATAAAGGTGTCAGCTGAAAAGAATAATTTACGGAAGGAATTATCGCAGGCTAACATTCGTCTAAAAGTATACGAGGAGCATGTAAATAGCATGAAAAAACGTATTATCGAATTGGAAAATCAAAAATCAAGAATCAATGTTGATACTTGCCCAAGTGCATCAAGTCTTGCTTCAAGGAAGTTTCATTTAGAACAATCTGTAGAAATCTGTAAAGATGGTGGCTGTCGCGTCTTGGATTATAATCCATGGTATAAATTACTGGCTGTTTCTCAAAAGTCAACAACCACATTATTCAATGGATATGGCATAAGGAAAATGGATTGTGAATGCTTTAATTTACGGCAATTTATTTTCTTACACACTCAAGCTATAAGAGATTTCACTTTTCATTCGACGCAACAAACAATTCTTCTTAGTGTTGGTTTTGATAAATGTGCTAAGCTAGTGGACATCCAAAATAACATGACGATGCACACATACCAAACAGAATATCCACTTTGGAGTTGTTGTTGGTCAGGTGACAATCCAAACGTTTTCCTGACTGGTGCGCAAAATGGAATTATTTCTCAATTTGATATTAGACAAACTTCCTCTGCTCTTAGCGTCTTAGAGGGTAACGGGGATAAATCACCAGTTGTATCAATGGCAGGAGTGCCGCCAAATCCTGGCAGTGGTATCAGTAGAGGTGGATTTATAGCATGTCGTTTAAATACATGTTATACATATGAAATTAAGGATACCAACTATCTATCTAAACAGATGTTTATAGAGGGACCTTTTGTTTCAGTACGCTATGATGAAAAAAATCACCATTGTCTTATATCATCTCGTCCTAATCCTAGGCAGCCACACGCAAGACATATAGTATGTACTATTGAAAGAAATACATCTAACGAAGAGATAGTTACATATAATGCCGTACATACATTCCAAGCCGGTAATTCTCAACAACTTTTATCTCGACCATGTTATTTATCTATAGAAGATGATACATTAGTCGCAGCATACATAGAGTCCAGCAGCAGTGTATCATTATGGAGTGTAGCGAGCGGTCAAAAGTTGCATAATCTTCCAGTGTCAGATCCTATTATGGATCTATGTTCATTTAATATTAATAATAATTTATTTTTAACAAGTCTTTCTGCAAAGAAACTTAGGTTATATAATTATGGACAATTAACACAAATATAAAATACAAATGTACAAAATAATACACAATCTGCCTTGCCATTTGTGCATGATTCTTTGTGCAAAATGCAAAGATATCCTTGATATAATATTTTTATACATATATGACAGACTGACTTAGACATACTTCTCTTTTTCTTTGTAATGGTTTCATATGTATAAATTTTGATTACATGTATAAATTTTGGTTGATGTAAGAAGAAATATATATATATATATCTAAAATTCACTTACAATAATTTATTATTCTTCTAATTGTTTTTATTTTTTGTACTTAGAATCCTATAGAATAGTCAAATTGAATATAGTTTTATGAAACTACATTTAGAAAAACAATTAATTCAGATATAATTAATTGTTCAGAATGATTTAAAAATTATTAAAGTTTGTCTCATAATTTTATCATACATTATTTGTTTAAGATTTTGTTTATGAATTTTTTGTACGTATTGCAATGTTGTATATGTGTGTACGTGTATATTAAAGTTATTTGTATATAAAAATTAAAATTAAATATCTATCGCGGAAATTGTTATCGCAAAATTTTCTCGAACTGGATTATAAATTTTTTTTCATATCTTTAATCACGTTCAAGTAAAAAACAAATATAAATATAGTGAATAAATCAATCTTTTTTTCTTTCCTTTTTAAATGAGAAATATGAATATAGAGCCAAAAAGACATAGCTATTTTCTATGTTGCCATTTTTGTTATCCACACGCTCTACCTAACTATAATTACTGAGAGAATTCAGTAATCATTGCTACTAATTTATTTCATGTTTATAATATCAAGTCATATTTGTACATAGTACAATTGAGATTAAATTTAATGGTACTTTTGACAGGAAAAAAATATTTTCAGTAACTTATATATATCGTAATAGTTGATTTTACAAATATTTTTTGATATTGCTTTTATATATGTAATACAAGAAATTTAGCGAGAAATTTGTTGGGCCAGCTTTGGGACAATTTGCATAATTATTAAGCGACAGTAAAAAAAATCTGTATTAAATACTTAACAAATAAAATAATATAAAAATTTATGTACTAGTAAGTAAAAGAATGTTTTTTATATTTCTGAGAAAAATATAAGGAACAAATCTGTATACAGAGATTAGAATACAGTCAGAATAATGAAAAATGAACTATTTATTTTTTCATGATTATTAAACATTACAGCAATTAAAACATCAAAGAGGATGTTGGAACTACAACCACATCCATAAACAAACTCATATGTAGGATAATACACGTGAGCTAAATATTTAAAAGAATAAAATAAAGCAAAACAATTTTTACAATCAATTGATCTAGCTATCACTTTTTTAAACATGATTTATGAAAAAATTAATATTACAAACTGATGAAACTATAATTCAATATTCATCCTTTCACTATGTAACACATATGATTTAACATTTGATTGTACAAAAAGCTATGTGCATTTCTGCATCATATACATTATTATACAAATAATGGGCTAATTAAATTTCCATCTTCATTTTTTCTAGCTGTGCTGTTTCACAATTTTACAGAATCATTACTAGAATAAATTGAATCTGTTTTGAACCTTTCTCTCTAATGGTATATTTTTATGTAAAATTTAATCGAGGCCGTTAAATAAATGCCATTTACACCTGAGTCTGGAATGTATACGGCATGACACAAATACAAAAACAAGCAAGACAAGATATATACTTGTAAAGATACATATCTATGATGTGAACATTTTTACTTCCTGTAAACCAACACTAAAAATGTACAAGTATAAAATATTGACATCAAGGCGAACAAGTATATGAATCTTTTTACAGGTCACATCTTACTTCAATAATATACAAGCGGATTTGCTCACATAAATTATACTTTTTTTACCTTTTTTCAAATGAAAGAGTAATTTTTTGGAACATATGCATATAGTATATTTAACATTACTTTTTATTTATCATAAATCAGTGATGACCAAATCACACTTAATAATTCTGATAGATTTCAAATTGATGGCAATTTTTTTTTCAATAGTAGATTTAAATAACAAGTTAAAATAATTGAAATTTAAAATCTAATATAATTTTCTTTTTATTAAAAACATTTACTATTGTAAAACTATAAAAAACTTATGAGCTGTAATAACAAGATGTATACCTTGTATTAAAGAATGAAAGAAATATATTTTTATTGTAACATGCAATTTCTATTAAGAATATAAATGATGTATAGATTATGTACAGTTTATAAAGAAAATTTGTGCATCACTGATATGAAAAAATAGATTATAAATTATAAAAACTGCAAACAGGATCAAATTATACTTGAAAAATATAGTTTGTGAATATACGTATTAGACTTTACTGGCAATTCAATATTTCAAATACAAATTGAAAATCTAGAATTAAAATTATCAAAGGCTAATTATAAAAGACAAAATAAAAATTCGAAAATGATACACAAAACTAAAGGATATTATGCATTTATATCATTTAATTTGTGATATATTGAATTATTACGTACAAAATAAGCAATCAAGAATATATCAATTTAAACTTTGTTGTAAAATTATGCTATTTCTTAAGCAACAATGGAATTTGAATAGAATGTAATGCAGAACAGTACAGTTCTCACAAAATGTTAAAAATTTTTCTTATTGATTCTAACCATTTTTTTTTAATTATTTTTCCTTCACGCTCTCTTACAAATTAAATAGATTACTATTGATATAAGTTGGATAGCTTTTCAGATAATTTCTTTTCATCATCCAGCTATTGTCAATATAACTGCGGAATTCCAATTGTAAAATCATTAATGATATTCAATATTCGAACATGATATTATTACAAGGAAATTTTTTGCAAAAAATGAATGGATGTGATAAATTAACTATGTAGTTATCACTAACTAAAGAGGCAGTGCTCGGTGGCGCGTTCCAAGTCCCAATTATATGAAGATAGAGCGACTCTCGCGTTATGTTCTTCAATTCCCATATCTGTTAATCTTCTTATCTTGTCATCTAAATCGGGCATTTTCGCAGGCCCTAGAGAATCAATATAAATCAGTATTTTAACAAAAAAAAAAATATATATATATACATACATAAAATGCGCGAATATACGCAGGAATAATGCACGTACCACCTGCATATACAAATGTCCAATGTGTGGCAGTTTGACGAAACAATTCAGGATGTTCTTTATATTGTTTAGCAACTACTGCATCCTGAGGATCATCAGGTTCTGCTGCAGATAATAACGCTTGAAGCGATAGCAGTACTGTACGCAGAGTCATTGCGGCAGCCCTTAAATGTGATAATAAAGATGAGATTATTTTACAGATGCATAATTATATTACATACAACAAAGCCACAACATTAAATTTAAAAAATATGTAAATACATAATCAAGTATATAAATAATAAATAACAAATATTTTTTCATTCAGTAAAAGAAGTTGTAAAACATATTAAATAAAAGTTTTTGACATACAAATATTCATAATTTAATTAATAAATTTATAATAAAAATACATGCCATTGATCTTTCAAAATATCCAAACATATGGCACCAGTAACAGAAGATATATTGGGATGCCATATTTTTGTTATAAAACGTACCTGCAAAATAAAAATTTGACATAATACAAAACTTTTGACAATTTATTCGTGAAAACTTGAAATTTATTTGATCTATTATGAATATTTAGAATACAGTATACAAATTTATACTGAAGACATAATATATTGATACTATCTGTGTGTTGTTGATTTATGAAAATTCATAAAGTGATAAATTTATACTATTCATGTGTTATAAGTAACTTTGTTATATTATTATATTGTAATAAAAAATAATAGATATTTTTTAGAAGCTATGCTTGCTAAACAAGTATTACGTTCACATTCTTAAAATTATGAACTTACTTTGGGAGGATTAAATGGATACGTCTCGGGAACTTTGATCTCGAGCACAAAATTACCACCTTCGTATGGTGTGTCCGGTGGACCAGCAATCTCTCCTTTTAATTCGGTAAGACTATCGTTGACCAACTCTACTTTAATCGCACATTTTGCTATCTATTACAAACATTAAATAAATAAAGCATTAGACGACCAAATTGCTATAAATATGTTTCGTAAATGTATAATATGTAACAACTTAGATGTATAGTATTTCAAAACATATAAAACAACTATATATATATATATATATGTGTGTGTGTATATGATTAAGCAAAATGGAAATAATTTGTAAGATATGTTACATTATAAAAACAATAAATCTGTAATTTGTATGTATTAAGATTTCTTAAATTCAAATTAATGAATAAATATGTTTGTGATCAAACTGTAATATGTACTAATTTATTAGAAATCAAATCTATTGAGGGTTTGTGGTAGAAACATATTTTACAACTTCATTTATATATATTTGGAAGGCATATAGATACGGCAATACAGCAATCAAGTTGTAAAAATCGCAAAACTTGGACAGCAAATTGATAGCAAATGACGTATTGATTAGAAAAGCAAAGACGAAGCGGTTTATTTAAAGAAAACAATTGAGCATAAAGAAATCGTGGCAGCGTAGCAAGATTTCAGACAGTTCTGATATACGTGACACTTGTTTTTCAATCGCATCCCTGTTTCCCAGGCAGAAAAACATTCCAGTTATGTGATGACAAATAAGAGGCTATAGAACCGACGAAAACACATTGCTAAATTATGCTCCCTCGTAAAATTCGCGTGTGGTACTACATCAGTCTCGCGGTACAATTATCAAAATAAACATGTAATCATAACCTATGACATCCGAGGCACGATAAGAGAAATCTCGACCGTTCCACAACGGATAATAATTTACAAAACTGTCATGGTACGGCCTTAGTCGCGACGCCTCGGCGTAAATCAGCCGTCAGAAAGCACGTGCAAGTATTATCGGAGACGGATGTATTAAATGCGAGGGCAAAAATGAGCAATCTGAAAAAGTGCAAAGCCTCCCAGTGCGGCCGAGATTCCGGACCTGCACACGCGCATCGTGGTGAGTACGGTCGAGCCATCCATAAGTACTCAGACGAACATATTTTCATCAGATCGTC